CAACACAGAAGCTGCATGCCTGCACGCAGACATTTCTGATCTTCTCGAACGTGGCCTGCACGCACAGCTCTGAGCTAGCATTACCGGAGCTCCACGAGGACCACGCCGACGCCGGGGTTCGAGCAGCGTACATATCGGATCTGCCTCGTTCTGGGGCGCCGCGCGCTCCTCTACTCCTCCATGCCTCCATGCCTCTAGGCTCTAGCTAGGCTCTTGTCAAAGGGTAGCATTTCAAGTTCTGATTCTTTTTTCTCTGCTGTGGCACTCGAGGCCGATCTATCCGTGCCTGACGCCGTGCTTTCAGTGCGAGATTATTAAAGCTCCCCGTAAAAATTACTTGGTGGTTTTCACAGAATCACACGGCAAGAGATTTTTAGAAATGATCCCATTCCTAACCGTCTACACATGCTCTAACCGATCAGAATGATAACTTCAGTACGATACTTTGTTTGGCTGTACTTAATCCATTCCATTTCACGTGTATTGTCCTAGGAGCGAGTGTACTCCTAAAAAATACATATGGAATGAGATGAATAAGAGTGCAGCCAAACAAAACCTAAAATGAAACTCCAAGTTGTTGCTTCAACGATTCTCAGCCTGTTCGTTTCGTCGTAAATGATCGTGGATTATTTACTGCTGGCTGGTTTGGTATGAGAGAAAAATACTATTTCTAGCTTATAATCCACGATTGTATACGTGCAAGCGAACATGCTGTTTATGGGAGTGATGGCTCAACATCTTTTTGAAAGAACAAATTTAGCTTCAACTTTCATAAGGGCGTCCTCAACGACTGACAACCTGCTAGCTAGGAGGACTGGCTCATCCAATCAGGAGGAGAGAGTATGAGAAAATTTCCATAGCTAGCTACGAAAGAAGCGCCTAGCTCACACGTCTTTCAAATTTCCTGAGTGTTTGACCTGCATTCCCTATCTAACTTGCTTCATTTTTTATTGTTTCTAGCTAACACAAGTTCAATAGGAACCTGACCTGCTTTGCGCCAACGTGCACTCCATCGTGGATCACTCGTCGTTCAGATCCATCCACTCGCAATACCACAACATAATGCTACTATATTCATTCCAAATTATAAGATGTTTTGAAAATTTTTAATATATTATTTTTATTATATATCTGGTCATAGTGTATATCTAAGTTAATAGAAAATAAAGATGCTAGCGCCTAAACATCCGGACACACGCCTGCACCCCGAGTTGCTTGCATCTTCGTTTCTTATGCCCTCCTTCGTTTCCCGCGCCCGCATCGTCCGGATGCCTCATCCCGCCTGCTCCACCCACTCGCACACAAGGACTGCCTGCGCCCACTCCGTATGCACACAGGGACTGCCTGCACCCCACTCCGCTTCCTGCTCCATATCACGCACGTGGCGACCGCCTGCGCTTGCTCCGTATCGCACTCGCACCCCCGCTGCGGATGTGCGTCATGTGACTCTGGTCGTCCCATTCAACGCTTTAAACATGAAAACACTTGCAACAACAAAGAAAACTTGCTGCAACATACGTCTGAAACAGATGAAACATTTGAAACAAACGCGTGCAACATCTATATGAAACATATGCAACATCCAGATAAAACACTTGCAATAAAACACTTGCAACATGTGTCTGAAATAGATAAAACATTTCGAACAAACGCTTGCAACATCTATGTGAAACATATGCAACATCCAGATAAAAACACTTGCAACATACGCCTGACAAATAGATGAAACATTTCGAACAAACGTTTGCAACATAAGTGTATAGCCATTGCAGCATGTGCAACATCCCAATCTACTTTTACAACATCCATATGCAATACTTGCAACATACATCTAAAACATCTGAAACACTTGAAACATATGCTTACAACATGCGCTTCTTCTCATGGTGTCTTCGGCCAACTGTGGGAGACGATGTCCCAGCCAGCGACGACCTTCACCTGGTGGCATCGGGGTGGTGGTGGCACGGTGCATGCCATGGCCACGACAGGCGAGCGCGGAGTGGGGCGCGGCTGTGGATGGCCGTGGCGGCGAAGGCGAGTGGGGTGGCGAGGCGGTGGATGGTCGCGGCGGCGAGGCAGAGTGGGTGGCGCGGCGCATATCAGGGTGCGCACGCGGGGAGATGGCTGCACGTGGGGGGAGATGCTCGCGGCGGCGAGGAAGAGTGTCGCGACACAGCGTAGGATGGTGGCACACGCGAGGAGATGGTGGCGGCGATGCGGATTGGGGCGAGCGCATGGCCGCACTATGCGGTGAAGCATACCATGGGCGATCGGAACGGGGAAATATTTTTGAGAGAGATGAGGAGACGTAGAGAGGAGGCAGGCCTGTTGGGCCGGTAGCGGTAGCGAGCAGGCCCGTCAAGGAGCGTTCGGGCAGACGCCTCGACTGAAGCATTATAGTGTAGAAAAAGCTACTTGTGTAAAAAAAAGCCAAAACATCCTATAATTTAGAAGGGAATGAGTAACATTGTGTCAAGACGCACATGATCATTAAACCAAGCTACTCGAACAGGTGGTGACATACATGGCAGGTCGCTAGCAACATCCAAGACTATCCAATTGGCTAAAACCTGCGCCGACACTGGCTTATTACAGTACACTTGATTACTGTCCCCTGGTGAAATTGAAGTTGCTGCAAGCCGAAATAATGGGCACCTTGGCAAACCCTAGCTGCTTCTTCTCCAGGTCGAACTGCAGCAGGTGGTCCTCCATCTGGAAGCCCCCGACCACCACCGCCGCCGCGGCGGGGTCCCCGGCCTTCACTCCCTTCATCTCGACGAACGCGAGGCACGCCGTCTTCGCGTTCACGTCCACCATGGAGCTGCTGCCGACGAACGTCCACTCCTTGCCGCCCTCCAGCGCGAGGGTTATCTCCGGCACGCCGTAGCCGAGCCGCGTGGGCGGCAACAGCGTCCTGTTGTAGCAGAACTCGAAGGGCGGCACCGCGGCCACCCTCATGTCGCTCCGTATGAGGCCCCTGTCGAACGCCTCCACGACGGGGCGGTACACGTCGGGCCGGAGCGCGGTGTACGGCACCCGGGTGCACAGCACGACGCCGCCGGTGGACAGCGCGTGCGGCGGGAGCGGCACCTGTGCCCGGTTGATGGCGACGTTGGTGACCGGGATGTAGTACAGCGGGTTGCCCAGCCTGCTGCGGAGCGGGGTGAACTGCAGCGTCTGCGTGAGGTCCCCGCTGGACGGCTCCCCGGTGAGGAAGAGCTTGAGGTAGAACGGCCCCCTGCTGCCGAAGATCGCCACGCCATCGCCGCGGCCGGACCTGGGGAGGCAGAGCAGGAACGTGTTGGCGACGCGCTGCGACGCCGCAACTTGCGCGGGCAGGGCGAGGCCGGCGGCTGAGAGCCCCGCGACGCCCGTGACGTCCCTGGGCAGCCGCTCCAGGAGCGTCCTCGGCGCGCACGCCGCCACGGCGCGGACCGAGACCTGGCTCAATGGGTTCTTGCCGTCGGTGGTGTTGGCGACGAGCCTGGTGTGGACGAGCTCCGCCGCCGCGCACCGCCCCGTGATAGGGTTGTACGGGTAGGCCTTGCACCGCTTTGAGCAGGGCTGGCCCGCGATGCCGCAGCTCGGCGCGCGGTACGCGTTGGCGAGCTTGCACACCGGGTCCTGGCAGGGGATATTGGCCGGTATGTGGTCGCAGGTGGACCAGAGGAGCGGGCCGGCGAGGTCGATGACGTGGACGTGGTTGGCTCCATCCCGGACGGGGATGGTGTAGAGGGAGGTGGCCGCGTCCTTGGCCATCGGGAGGAGCACGGGGTCGGCGCACGATGCCGGGCACGCCAGCACGAGAGCCGAGATGGCCAGGAGGAGGAGGGGGTTGCGTCGCGGCATCTTCTTCCTTGGGGGAGCTTGCATTGCATGTGATGGATTGGCGTTCGTTCGGTGCGTCTGCTTATGTAGCGAGTTGGCTGGTCACCTCGATAACCTGTCAAGGCTGTCACGAGATGGTCGGTGCATCGTGCATGCAGCAGGCTTCTGAAACAGAACAGATCTCACCCATGGCCGCGTTTAGTTGCGCCCGGAATCGGCGCCGCCGGAACAGCGTAGATACTGTAGCGCACGGTAGCATTCGTGTGTATTTGGTAATAATTATCCAATCGTTGATTAATTAGGCTCAAAACGTTCGTCTCGCAAAGTACAACCAAACTGTGCAATTAGTTTTTGATTTTGTCAACATTTAGTACTCCATGCATGTACCGCAAGTTTGATGTGACGGAAAATCTTTTTTTTACATAGTACCAAATTTTGAATTTTGGTGGAACTAAACATGGCCCATATCTCCATATCACATGTACAGAAATGGTGAGATCCCAAACCTGAAAATCGGCGGGTCTGGCCGCCGTGGGGGCGTGGCGTATCGACGAAGGTGCGGGCGAGTCAACGGAAGCATAGCATGCATGCCCGCGCGTCACACTACAGGTATTTGTACACCTCAGTCCACGAAAGAATCTAACTATGGTCGTACCTGTTAAAGTCTTTCAAGTTTAACTAAGTTTATAATAAATAGTACTCACACATATATGTCTCCAAATTGGTATATTACAAAAGTATATTTCATAACGAATCTAATAATATTTATTTTGTATCATACATGTTAATATTTTTTTTTGTATAAATTTGGTCAAACTTAAAAGCATTTTATTTCTCGAAATGCAAGAATTATATTCTTTTGTGGACTGAAAGAGTAGTTCTTTGTGGGTACTCCTTGCGCCCTAAAATAAGTGAGGAGTCAAACTTTTAAAAATTTGACTAATTATGGAGAAAATAATATTAATATTTGCATATCTAAATAAATTTATTATGAAAGTATATTTTAGCTTGAAAACGTTTGTCTCCTTTGGAAGCGAGAAAAGCACCTATTTTGAGACACATGGAGTATGTGGCTACGTGTCACATGTCCACTGACCGTCGCGCCAACCAGGGGGCTTCCATGTACGCCACCATGGATCGAGTCAAGTGGTACCGTCCCTAGAGATTTTAACTCAAGGTATTGTTTTTATAACTAATATTATGTCAATACGCTGCAATGGTAAAAAAAATCAAAGTAATTGAATTTTGAACGTGTGTTAAAGTGTTATATGCTATAAAAAAACAATGGGGCAATCAGAAAAAGGGAGGATAAGTTCGATCACTTGATGTTGGACTAGCAGAGCTGATCTTAACCGGTAGTTGGTACCTCTGGTGGGAGCGTCAACAACATGTTCATGAAGAAAATATTCAGAGACCAGCAAGATCAGCCCTGTCCATTGCAACCTTAACAAGAAATTATAAAGCTAGCTATGAAGAAGGAAGCAAAACCCCGAAAGGAATAGCAGAAACCCCGTAGGGAAAGATTATGGTGAATATTGATGTATCCTTTGATGAAAACGTGGGATGTAGAAGCACAGGGGCAGTAATTAGAGATTGCTCATGGGGAGTTGTTGTAGCTTCACATACTTTTATATGATATATGATATATAAAAAAACGATTTACCCATTGTTTATGAAATGATTTTCAATCATACGTGCGGCACACATGTTCACTTGTAGCAGTTCAAAAAATGCTCAAAACAAGTTATGTGAAGTAAACCACGCAGGGGCTCCTGGATGTACTTATACATTGCATAAAAACAAAGGATATGGGACCTCCTACACGAGGTCAGATCGCTCTCTCATTCTTGGTTACGCACTCTACCGTGTCTTTGTTTTGTGAAGTTAAGGCACCGTTTGGATGCCGAATTTTTTGGCGAATGCTACTGTAGCATTTTGGTGTTATTTGACAAATAATGTCCAATCATAGTCTAATTAAGCTTAAAAGATTCGTCTCGTGGATTTCGTCTAAACTGTGTAATTAGTTTTATTTTTTATTTATATTTAATGCTTCATGCATGCGTTCAAAGATTCGATGTGACAGAAAATCTTGAAAAATTTGGTATTTTAGAGTGGAACTAAACATGCCCTAAGTTGCTGCACGCCGCTCCAGGTCGAACTGCAGCAGGTGGTTCTCCATCTGGAACCCTCTGACCACCACCGCCGCCACGGCTAGGTCCACGGCCTTCACCCCCTTCATCTCGACGAACGCGAGGCACGCCGTCTGGCCGTTCACGTCCACCATGGAGCTGCTGCTGACAAACATCCAGCTCTTGCCGTCCTCGAGTACCAATGCAATGTCCGGCACGGCGTAGCCGAGACGCGTGTTCCCCAGCATGCTGGACCGGTAGCAGAGCTCGAATGGCGCGACCACGGGGACCTTGGCGTCGTTCCTCGCCAGGGCCCTGTCGAACGCCTGAACAACCGGGCGGTACACGTCCGGCCGGATCGCGGTGTACGGCACCCTGATGCACAGCACGACGCCGCCGGTGGACAGAGCATGCGCCGGATGCTGCACCTGTGCCTGGTTGACGGTGACGCCGCTCACCGGGATGTAGTACAGGGGGTTGTCTCTCCTGCGGCGGAGCGCGGTGAACGCCAGCGTCGACGTGAGGTCCGCGATCGCCGACTCCGGGGAGGAGGAACAGCGGGGCCCCGCCGAAGACCGCCACCCCCTCGCCGCCGCCGGACCTGGGGAGGCAGAGCAGGAACCTGTTGGCGACGCGCTGCGACGCCGCGACCTGCGCAGGCAGGGCGAGGCCGTCGTCCGCGAGCCCGCGACGCCCGCGGCGCCCGCGGGCAGCCGCGGCAGGAGCGTCCTCAGGGTGCACGCCGCCACGGCGCGCACGGAGACCTGGCTCAGCGGGTTCCTGCCGTCGGTGGTGTTGGCGATGAGCCTGGTGTGGACAAGGCTCGCCGCCGCGCACCGCCCGTGACGAGGTTGTACGGGTACGCCGTGCACTGGGTCTTGCTCGCGCAGAGCTGGGCCGCCTCGTGGCAGCGTGGCGCGCGGTAGGCGTTGGCGAGCTTGCACGCCGTGTCATGGCAGGAGATCTTCGGCGGCAGGTGGTCGGCGGCGCACGTGGACCAGAGGGCGGGCCGGCCAGGTAGATGACGTGGTTGGCGCCGTCCCTGACGGGGATGGTGTAGAGGGAGGTGACCGTGTCTTTGGACACCGGGAGGAGCACAGGGTCGGCGCACGATGCCGGCCATGCCAGCACCAGCAGCGAGATGGCTGAGAGGAGCAGGGGCTTATTACGCCGGCGTGGCATCGAGATTTTAACTCAAGGTATTGTTTTTTATAACTAATATTATGTCAATACGCTGCAATGGTAAAAAAAAAATCAAAGTAATTGAATTTTGAACGTGTGTTAAAGTGTTATATGCTATAAAAAAACAATGGGGCAATCAGAAAAAGGGAGGATAAGTTCGATCACTTGATGTTGGACTAGCAGAGCTGATCTTAACCGGTAGTTGGTACCTCTGGTGGGAGCGTCAACAACATGTTCATGAAGAAAATATTCAGAGACCAGCAAGATCAGCCCTGTCCATTGCAACCTTAACAAGAAATTATAAAGCTAGCTATGAAGAAGGAAGCAAAACCCCGAAAGGAATAGCAGAAACCCCGGAAAGATTATGGTGAATATTGATGTATCCTTTGATGAAAACGTGGGATGTAGAAGCACAGGGGCAGTAATTAGAGATTGCTCATGGGGAGTTGTTGTAGCTTCACATACTTTTATATGATATATGATATATAAAAAAACGATTTACCCATTGTTTATGAAATGATTTTCAATCATACGTGCAGCACACATGTTCACTTGTAGCAGTTCAAAAATGCTCAAAACAAGTTATGTGAAGTAAACCACGCAGGGGCTCCTGGATGTACTTATACATTGCATAAAAACAAAGGATATGGGACCTCCTACACGAGGTCAGATCGCTCTCTCATTCTTGGTTACGCACTCTACCGTGTCTTTGTTTTTGTGAAGTTAAGGCACCGTTTGGATGCCGAATTTTTGGCGAATGCTACTGTAGCATTTTGGTGTTATTTGACAAATAATGTCAATCATAGTCTAATTAAGCTTAAAAGATTCGCCTCGTGGATTTCGTCTAAACTGTGTAATTAGTTTTATTTTTATTTATATTTAATGCTTCATGCATGCGTTCAAAGATTCGATGTGATGAAAATCTTGAAAAATTTGGTATTTTAGAGTGGAACTAAACATGCCCTAAGTTGCTGCACGCCGCTCCAGGTCGAACTGCAGCAGGTGGTTCTCCATCTGGAACCCTCTGACCACCACCGCCGCCACGGCTAGGTCCACGGCCTTCACCCCCTTCATCTCGACGAACGCGAGGCACGCCGTCTGGCCGTTCACGTCCACCATGGAGCTGCTGCTGACAAACATCCAGCTCTTGCCGTCCTCGAGTACCAATGCAATGTCCGGCACGGCGTAGCCGAGACGCGTGTTCCCCAGCATGCTGGACCGGTAGCAGAGCTCGAATGGCGCGACCACGGGGACCTTGGCGTCGTTCCTCGCCAGGGCCCTGTCGAACGCCTGAACAACCGGGCGGTACACGTCCGGCCGGATCGCGGTGTACGGCACCCTGATGCACAGCACGACGCCGCCGGTGGACAGAGCATGCGCCGGATGCTGCACCTGTGCCTGGTTGACGGTGACGCCGCTCACCGGGATGTAGTACAGGGGGTTGTCTCTCCTGCGGCGGAGCGCGGTGAACGCCAGCGTCGACGTGAGGTCCGCGATCGCCGACTCCGGGGAGGAGGAACAGCGGGGCCCCGCCGAAGACCGCCACCCCTCGCCGCCGCCGGACCTGGGGAGGCAGAGCAGGAACCTGTTGGCGACGCGCTGCGACGCCGCGACCTGCGCAGGCAGGGCAGGCCGTCGCGCGAGCCGTCCCGCGACGCCCGCGACGCCCGCGCCCGCGGGCAGCCGCGGCAGGAGCGTCCTCGGGGTGCACGCCGCCACGGCGCGCACGGAGACCTGGCTCAGCGGGTTCCTGCCGTCGGTGGTGTTGGCGATGAGCCTGGTGTGGACAAGGCTCGCCGCCGCGCACCGCCCCGTGACGAGGTTGTACGGGTACGCCGTGCACTGGGTCTTGCTCGCGCAGAGCTGGGCCGCCTCGTGGCAGCGTGGCGCGCGGTAGGCGTTGGCGAGCTTGCACGCCGTGTCATGGCAGGAGATCTTCGGCGGCAGGTGGTCGGCGGCGCACGTGGACCAGAGGAGCGGGCCGGCCAGGTAGATGACGTGGTTGGCGCCGTCCCTGACGGGGATGGTGTAGAGGGAGGTGACCGTGTCTTTGGACACCGGGAGGAGCACGGGGTCGGCGCACGATGCCGGCCATGCCAGCACCAGCAGCGAGATGGCTGAGAGGAGCAGGGGCTTATTACGCCGGCGTGGCATCTCCATCAGACGGGAAGCTTTATGCAAGTGAGTTGGCTTGTGAATGGCGTTCGATGTGCCTGCTCGCGATCAGTCGGCCTGCACCTTTCATACTTCATCTATTTCACCCCCAAACTATAAAACCGTTTGTGTTTCCCCTGAATTTTCTAAAACCATATATTTTACCCCCTGGGTGGTTTTCAGCGGCGGTTTTGCTACAGTGGTTTTGAATTATTTATTTATTTATTTTCGGTGAATTTTTAAAAAATCATAGTAAATCATAGAAAAATTATAAAATAAAAAATCTAATTTTGTTGGACTCCACATGAGTAGATCTACATAGTGAATATATAATACGGTATGCTTTAATACAAAATTTTTACTGTAGCATTAGATTAATTAGAAAATCTAATTTTGTCTGTAATTAATTGGAATAATTCATAACTGCAGCTTCTATGGTCCAATTGTGGTGAAATTTTTATGGTACGCTAATTATTGTATGCTTGAACTATAGTAAAAATTTCGTACTCATTGAACTATGTATAACTTAGTTATAGATAAATTCTAATTAATTACAGACAAAAATGGATTTTTCAATTAATCTAAAGCTACAAAAAAAAATTGTGCTAAAGCATACTGTATTATATATTCACTGTGTAGATCTACTCATGTGGAGTCCAATAAAATTAGATTTTTCATTTTTATGATTTTTCTATGATTTACTATGATTTTTCAAAAATTCACCGAAAATAAATAAATAAATAATTCAAAACCATTGTTACTGTTGCAAACCCGCTGTTACTGTATCAAAACCGCCGCTGAAAACCTCCCGGGGGTAAAATAGACGGTTTTAGAAAGTTCAGGGGGTAAAACAGACGGTTTTCATAGTTGGGGGTGAAGTAGATCAAGCATGAAAGGTGGGGGGTTAAGTAGATTTTTTTCGTCAGCTTGTTGGTTTCTGGGCTGATAAGTACGGCTGGTGCTGGTTTGTTGGAAGAGAAAAACACTGTTAGCTGGCTGATAAGCCCGGGCTGAAACCAACGAGCGAACAGGCCGAGTGATATATGTAGTGTCACCTGGAGCTTGCTCTTCCATACGCAGAAGCGACACCCAGCCTGTCCGGTTGGCTTGTGCTTGTCGTAAACGATCGTTAATTTTCAGTCAAAATAGTATTTTTTTCTCGCACCAAACCAGACAGCAGTACTTCTTCACAAACCAGTAACGAACAAGCCCAACCAAACGAACAGGCCCACAACCATTGCTGGATGCTGGAATGCAGGAGCCAGGGCCAGCCTGTTCTCCACACCGTCTCTCTGACGCGCCATGTTTACCTGTCACGAGGAACTCGTTTAATCCAGTGTCGAGCTCTATGCACGCAGGAATGGCAATGGCCTAGATCTCCGTCGCGATAGCCTACCAGGCTACCACCATGCGTCCATGCCGATCGGATCCTGCCGTGGCGTATGGGCGAAGCCAAGCATGGAAGCGCGTGCGAGTCAACGGAAGAGTGCGCACCTGTCAGCCGGAAACCAGCAGCAGGAGGAGGGAACCCAGGAGGAGCATGTCTCTTTTGGGTACGTGCCGGATACGCATTCACCTTCTCGCATATGACTGGTGTGTGCTTGTTTAGTTTTTAAAAAGTTTTTCGAAAAATTACTGCAGTAGTCGTCACATCGAATTTTACGATATATATATGGAGCATTAAATGTAGACAGAAAAAAACTAATTGCACAGTTTGGTTGGAAATTACGAGACGAACGTTTTGAGCCTAATTAGTCCATGATTGAACACTAATTACCAAATAAAAACGAAAAGTGCTACAGTAGCCAAATTCCCAAAATTCACGAACTAAACACAGCATATGGTTGGGCGAAATAGCATTCACCTTCTAGCATATGACACTTTGAACTTATCAGCCTGGCTTATTCGTCATGGTACATTGTTTTTCTCTTACACCAAATCAACAAACAATATTATTCACCATAACTTTTCAGCGAAGCGAACAGGACTTTGCGTAGAGCTCGGCCGTCACCTCCAGTCTCCGGAAGGACCGGAGGAGGCTGGCCGGCGCGCAGGACGGGAGGACACCGTGCGCGCGTGGTGACCTCTGAGGTTGTCGTGCTCCCGTCGTTGGTGGCGGCGTTCGTGGCGATGTCTGCGAGCCTAAGGTCGCCGACGGCCCGTTCACCTGTTACGGGGTTGGTTGGATGGGCACGGCACTTGCACTGCCCCCGCCGTCCTTCATCAGCTAAAACAAACCTTGAGCGAGAAGTACATGTGCCAAGCATAGAAAACCATGTGCCGTGCAACTATATCGAGTCTGTCATTTGGGACATCAATTTGTCCTCAAATTAGTTTGATTGTTGTAAGCTTATTTGGCATTGGATTTTTATACATATTTCGCTATTAGTATGGTGTTTGAACTTTTCTATTGAAACTTCTTTTTCAAATTTAACACTTACTTTGTTATTTTGTACTTATATTCCAAATTCGACCTTGCAGAACTATTGTGTGCGAATTACTAAATAGATTTTCTTGAATCACATGTGAAAATTTTAGTTTGGCATACCCCATGAAAAATCCTATATCCGCCACTGCACGGGGCATGTGTATAAGCCATCAAAGGGTGGATTAATAGTGCTAGTTTTTTTTTTTCTGGAAGCACTCCTTCAAGCACTTCTCACCCCGTGGAGTTAGTTAGTCCCTCTTCGTCTATATAAATACCCAGTGAGGCAGTGTTTCACCTTACCACTCGACGAGAGCAGTCGAACGATGGTGATCCGGTGCGCCACTGGCAAGGCCATGGCAGTTCTCCTCGTACTTCTTTTTTCATTGCGACTACCACCGCCAGCCCGCTAGTGGCGTCCCCCTGTGGCTGCGCATCGTCTAGGGCGCGGGGCTCGCAGGCACCGTCACCTCCCTCGTGCATGCGGAAGAACCGTCCGAAATAACACCCTTTCGGAGACGCTCGTCTTCCGCTAGACACTAAGCACCTCGAAAGTGAGCTATATCGAACAGTTCCGTCGAGCACACCTCAAGAGAGAACTAGAAATAATCCACGTTTTACATCTAGAATCAATAATGAGTACAAGCTTACAATACTTATTCCATTTCATACAACAAGAGTTCTTGGAAATTATTTATTACAATACCAGAGTTCAGAGTGCGATAATAAAACAGTGGAATAAAAATAAACATCTAGCGGAAATGATACAAGGATCTGTCCACCAGAAGAATCCTCCACACAAGAGCTACTCTTCAAGCTGCACCTGCAACAGGGGTAAATAAACCCTGAGTACACAATATACTCACAAGACTTATCCGACTAATGGGAATAGTTTCTCGACTCTCAAGGATATGATAGGCAATATGAGTTTGATGTTTTCTTGTTGTTTTCGAAAAGCATTACTAATAGTTCATCCGTATGGTCAAGTTTTATTAGTAGTCATGATTGCTTCATTAGCTAACCATTCTAGGTAAGCACCTGTTCTACTTTCGAGCAAGGGTTGAGTAATCAGAACTATTTCACCATCTTTTATCTTTCAGTTCTTACTACGGTGCTAGACTATAGCCAAGTCGCACCGTCTCACGAAAATGGTGATTCGTGAACCAATGTATCCCAGCTGGGTACCTCAAAACACATGCCTCGTTTGTACCTCAGGCACAAACAAGACCCCCGGAGCTCCATTATCGGTGACGAGAAGCTCCCCGGAGTGCTCGGTTTAGGCCCTAGAGGCCACGGTTTGACAAGCCGAGAGCACAGGGAACAAGAGAAGAAGACGACGAACTCACCTAGGGCCTTCTTGCGGTCGACGGCGGGTCTACAGCGTCGGGCAGCGCGGCGGCGACGGCGACAGCGAGAGGAGGAGAAAAATCTAATTTACTACACGGGGGATTTCCCAAACTAGGGGCTCCCCTTACGGTAGTTTTTGGTGTGCTTTGCCCAAAGGGTTGGTACATATTTATAGGGAGAAAAACTCCCCACATCTACATCAACTAGTAATATGGTACTAATTGATGTTGCACCCTCCACATTTACTAATTGACCTAAATAATCATTAAAGCCCATTAGTAAATAAATGCATGGGCCTTTGAGATTTATTAGGATTATTGCACATGAGATTAAAGCCCATTAGTAAATAAAATGAGATATATTATTTATTTTCGAAATTAATTAATTTTGTGAATAAAATAATTCTAAAAAAGTCTAGAATTAATATTTAAGCCACGAAAAATACTTCGAGACCTCCGAAAATTTGGGAAAATTTTCCAGAGACACTTTAGAACATGTTGAACCCAAATAAAGTATTTGAGCTCATGAAAACATTGCTGGAAACTTGGAACATAAAGATTAAGGTGAAGGAGGTAGGAATTAAATTTCAGAAAGAAGCTGAAAAATTCCTAGAGATAGATATTCGTCTCCTAAACGTATTTAAAAAACACACATTCTGCACATAGAAACACAAGGTGCGACCGACATGAATGCAACAAACACGTTTCTACCTTAAGATAAATTTTAATCTAATGAAAATTTATTATTTCCCCATGTTTTCATGAGCATAAAAATACAAAATTAAATCATTTTAGCTCCATTTCAAGATAAGCAAATTTTAGGGTGTTACACTTTATCTAGCCCTTCCCTGACTTTCCTCATCTTATATGACAGGGTAAAGCGTGTGATTAGTGGGTTGAATGGCATGAATACCAATTTAGCCTGCAGTGCACAGTTAGTTAGACCATTAGATTTGGTCCCCCCCCACCCACCAAGTAGTAGCTATGCAATTTCCAAATATATATCATAACTTGAATCCTAAATAACTGAATTAATATTGGGCTTTTGTCTTTTGATGACAATGCTTATTGTAACCTATCCCTAAAATGGCATAATTGAAATCCAAAAAAAAAAGAGCACACTTGATAACTTTGCTTCGTCCAGGAGAATGGAAAAATGGGTTACAAAATGCATTTGTTGCATGTATGCGACTACAAAACACAAACTTGTCTTGTTCTTGATTTACCAT